AATCTTTCAGTCATCTCACAAGCCAATGAGTCATGTAAAAGGCAAATGAAGAAGATGGTTCTGACATCAATAAATGGCACCCAGATAGAGCAAAGTCCACTGAACCGCTGATCAATACCACAGCATTAAAAAAAACCTTTGGCTCTGACATCCCATCTCAGCCGCCAAAACTTGTTTCCAATCAAGGGAGGCAGGCATCTATTTGTGCTAACATCCTATAATCCCAATGAACACAAGCAGATGAAGTCTGGAGTGCTGCCTCAAGCCAACATACTAGATGAACACTCTTCCATTAGTGAATTAAGAGCACTGCTGAAGGATTTCTTTCCAGTGCAACCAAGAACGAAATTATCAATGCAAAACACTTCACAAAAGTTTGCTAATTTGCTAATGACAGCACATTAAGGGACTCAAGAGACAGTCACACTCTCATTCAAAAGTGACTCTTAAGAGGTTACGCTTCATAGTGACAGTCTCAGTTACTATTCACATAAAATCCATTCACTTAACAGAGATCACAACTAGTGAAGTGTACTTAAAACTTAGTGGTATCTGCACACATTTACGTTTCATAATGTGATATAATAGTGAGTGAGGACAGCATATTCTGTGGGAAATAAGTATAGGGCAGGACCTATCTAACAGAAATTGATTGGACGGAAATATGTTAGGCTAAAATATAATTGGATAATGTTATTTTTCCCACTTACATGGCCTTGATAATCTTGTGCTCGTCAACTTTGAATTCTGGATGATACATGAGATGTGATGTGTTCACTGATCTATAAAATAAACAGAGATCCATTTGGTAAATCTATTTGATTATTTTAGTATCTAATTTTATACCTATAATCTAAGATCAGTGAATGGAAAGCAAGTCTACAGTGGAAAAATTAATGATTTTGAAAGTAAATTTTTTTTTTTACATGCTGTATTTAAATCATTTTAAAGGTCTGTTGTACGGACCAGCTGATAAACAACTTAGGTTAATTATTCAACTTTCAATGTAACATTTAGTTTTGACACTGTGCATAACACAAATTTGCTTGATTTTCATCATTTTGAATTCAGATTTCTACAAACTTGTAGAAACTCATTAATAATCGGTGCATGTTACTAATCTACAAACATGTGCTAATTACAGGACAGTAATCCATTTACTAGACCGGGGTAGGCAAGTTCGGTCCTAGAGAAGTGAAGTACACTAGTGAAGTGTACTTCTTCGATATTTCTGATATCAACATGCAGTGTTACACAGATCACATAAAGCATATCAAATTCAGTTAAAAGTAGCCGAAACGTTAAATTTGTGATACAATTTGATATTTAAAAGTTTTAACAATGATGTAGAGAGAAACATAAGAATACAATCAGTCACAGGAGATGCGTTTGAGGTGGAAACAAACAGTCTCTTGCGATCGGGTCACCTGAGATGGATCTTAATTCCAGGTGTAAACAGGCCATTTTAAACGGATGTGGCAGTTTATTAAACACATTTTAAAAAGGATATACATCTAGCTAAATGAAAGTCCACATTTGCACTTCAGCATACAGACAGGAAATGGGTCAGCGGACGTCTGCTAGAAGGCAGAGTGACGGAGAGATGGAGGATGGGAGGGGAGATTCAGGACAGCTAATGCTGGAGGGCATGGGCTAACTGCAAACACAAAAATCCACGAGCACCATCAACCACAACAGGACTAGCATCCCAGGCAAAGGGTTGAGAGATGGCTCTCTGCAGCCCTCAGTTTAAGTGTCTCGATGTGGCTTTGCTAGAACTGGGAGTTCAGCTCATAATCAGCAACTACGCATTTTCTTTTCTTGGTGCAGTGTGTATATAAAAAGTAATGTTATACAAGACATCCTCGGGCAGAATGACATTGAATGGAATGCAGCTGGAGCTCCAGGGTGTGACAGCAAGTGACTAATAATATAATTCCCCCACAAAACAAGAGGCGCACAAAACAGCACACATGCACACCCAGGGTGGACACCAGACCCCACACTGTCACCCGCAGAGTCTTGACACTGCTGCTCTGAGGAGTGCAGGCAAGATCTCATCATCTCTCCTACACTTTTGCACATACAGAACAGAGCGTACGGAAGTCAGGTGAGAGGGAAGCAGACGGTGTGCCACCTGGCCCTCACAGCGCCGGGCCCAGCACTACTCCTTTAACCCACCGAAATGCTGAATGAAAAGAAAGCACACAGAGACTCAAACGGAGAGGATGTGTGAATGAAACCAGGATCTTAAGGTCTAACTCCAAGCCATAAAAAAAAAATTTTAAAAAAAAAACTCCAAGCAAGCGTCGCAGCTCCATTCATGCAGTTTCATCATGAATGGGTCTGTGACATAAGAGTGTCCACAATATAAGGTAAAGGAAAACAATCTAGCTCAACACAGATGGCAAGTTTATAAAAAATTTATTTTGTGTGTTATGTTGGTTTAATGGTTTTGAATTTCAATTTAATTACTTTTAAAATGTGTTGTGGTGTAATTAACTTTTTACTTTACCGCCCCAAAACCAAGCCATTGCATGTGCAGTATGAATGGCATTATACATGTATTTTTTAATAAAATAATAAATTAACAATCACATTATTGGCCCATATCCTGTATTAAATTAACTTAACCTTGAGTCGTGCTACACCTGACTGAACAGGGTCCCTTTCTACAGCTAAACCGCATGCCTGTCAAAGCCACGAGTGAAATAAACCTCGTCTGCATCAAGAAAAACACTACCTCATTAATATGGGTGAACAAAGGTCATTCTGATGACTCACATCAAACCAAGCCTAATAACACGGCCGCTGTGCGGTACATGACCCCTCGACAAACCAAGGTCCTCACTACTTGGCCAGGCAACAAACAGAAAGAGCATGGATCTCATTTCAAGGTTTGTGGTCAGAGCACAGAAGCTCATTTTCAGACGTTGTCCCTCAGGACTAGGTGAGGCTGACCAGGTGATGCCAAACATGGCTCCCATGCATGTGGGACACAGACCTCCACTTCTGTGCCAGAGAGGGAGTTTATGAATGGCCCATCTGAGCAAGTGCTGCACGGAAATGTTTCCCCACTACTGCACATGTCAGTGCACTGCTTCTGGGTGACCTATTTCCGTTCGCGCTCAAACTCAAACTCCGACGCGCTTATTCAGACAAAGCATCAGCTTTGTTTTTTTTTTTATACAATCTGCATTTTCCCAGCCGACTGAAATCAACAGTCAGAAAGTGACGTGAGGGGCCTTTAAAACTCACTTCTTCCATAGGATGATGAGAACAGCCAGTAGCTACATATTGCCTTGCTTCAGTGAAGGGCAGAGAGCATGGCATGTATGAAAGAGATTAACACAACCAAATCCCGTTCAAAATATGAGCGACATCTGGGGTGCCATATGATCTGTAGTGTTGAAGCATGTATGTGCAAGCAGATCCATGTGTGAGGAGGCAGGGAAGGTGAAGCTAATGCACCAGTCACAATAGATGGCCAAATCAAAAGCACTCAAAGGGCTATCTGCAGTAATCTTTCCATCCTACGCGCTACTTAGCCTCGCGAGCAGAGAAAGGAGAGCACTTCACGTGTATCCCTTTAGCCCATTAGATCCTACAGCACACAGGGTAATTGGTTTACGGCTGCTGTGAAACTGTGCCTCGCCATATGGTCATCCTTAAACTGCCCATCCAGTTATATTGTGTTTAATTCACTAATCACACACATCCGACACAAAACGTATAGATATTTTCACACTTAAATGTATGAATTTATCCAATTTATGTTCCCTGGGAACCAAACCCATAACCTAGGCCGTGTCAGCGTCATGCGCTACCAGTTGAGCTGCAGGACAACGCACATATGTGCTCACACTAATTAGACAGACTGACACAGTTTTTATAATCCGAGGAGCGACGCATAAAAATGGAGCCTTGTTAGGAAGTAACCCAGTTTATCCTCTCAAAAGCCGCTGGAAAACATGCTAGGAGTAATTTGGTGGCATTAGAAGGATTTGAGCATTTATCAAGCCATGCATACGGCACACTGTTTCCCGGTTGGACACGGATAGATCCAGCAGCAGCACACAGCAAGTTCAAATTTGTTTCTATCGAACGAACAGTGGAATAAAAGAACTGATGCGTGTCAATAGGGGTGTCAAACTCAATTCCTGGAGGGCCGGAGCCTTGCAGAGTTTTGTTCCAACCCTGGACCAACACACATATCATGTACTTTTCAAATAAGCCTGAAGGACTTGATTAGTTGGATCAGGTTTTTTTTTTTAATTAGGGTTGAATCTAAAGTCAGCAGGGCTTCAGCCCTCCAGGAATTGAGTTTGACACCCTTGTTCTAGACGGTGTAACTAACTAAAATATTCATAAAGCATATTTTATATATTTAAAATGTGTGTGTACTCATGCTGTATGTATTTAAGGGGCATATACAATATTCTAGAACTTTTTATTGATCATTACAATCAATTTTTGCCAACGTTTTTCAAAAATGTAATAAATCAGTATGAGCACAAACATTTCATTTAAGAACTTGGCATTTTAAACTAGACTTCTAGCAATGATTTCTCCTTTTCCTTCATCAGATATCCTTATTTGTCAGGGATTCATAAAAGTCTTGATAAAACAAATGGTTATAAGAGAATCAGACAGAGTAGGGCTACTTTAACAGGATAGACTAGTACAATACACAAACAATGCCAAAGATATAGATTTTATTAGACTGGCGATTTCAGGATAATCGGAAGGTTATTTTATCCACCGGATCGGTTCATTGATATATTCTGCAATAGTCTGTAATGAGTTTCAAACAGCATTTGATCTGATAGATAAATGCAACCGTCCACATCTCCTTATCGTCTGTCCCCTTGTCTTTGTTCGTTCAGCCGTTATTTGACATTTCACTCCATTTCTACTATTGTAGTGATTAGTGTTGCACCTGCCATTACGGCGCAACCGCAACATCAATGAGCATCTCCAATAAAGGACACATAACTTACCCTTAACGCGGAGAGGTCGATTTCATCCAGACTCCGAGCCGGAGAATCGCTCGCCATATTAAACCGAAATTACACGGAGAAACAAAGAAATGTTGTTGACTAGATCTCAGACAGCCGTCCGCTGATCTCCTACAGCAGCGCGTTCAAATCTCCTCTCGCTGATCACTCGTGCTTATTGTACAATCCGTCTTTTAACTGTGGATTCCACCGATGCTTTTGCTAGACCTCAGTTAGATTTCACCCCAGCAAACAGAAACATCGTGCGTTCTGGGGACAGCATGTTTTTCAGTAGGAGCTACACATCTTTTGGTCTCTAACGCTGTCGCTGAAATCTCAACGCCGCTCGTCTTGAGAGTAGCATCAATCAGATGTGTGGGAGTGGCTAAATGACGGGGCGTGGCCAGCGTCACTAGCACCGCCCATTTGTTTGGTTCCACTGTAGTTCATGCTGTAGTTCATGCTGTTAGAAGAAACCTGCAAACATTCCTTTACAGGCTACACTTTCACTTCTATTGCCTTTCGTCATACGAAACTTTATGTTAAGGGAACACACTATATCATAGCTTTTTATTCTGCCCCTTTGTAGGGAGCTAACTTATGTGCTTCTTCTTGGGAACCCTTAAAAGGATTTCAAAGCATGTTTACCTGGCAGATCTTCTTGGCTGAGCGCCAAATCTAACTGACATTCCTTCAGGTACACCTCCAACACAACGGTACAGTTTCCGTGACGTGTAAATAAGGAGTGAATGAGATATAATCAGCAGTCTTAACAATAAAGATGATAACTTCCAAAAGAATTCACCTCTGCATTTGATGTTTTCCAAGAACTGTAATGGTATACAACTCTGTGTTTTCCAGCATAAAAAATGTTAAGCAGATTTAGTTCCAATCCAATCCATCCAAACTACTTCAGTCTACCCTGTAATTCAGCTGAACGTTCATGCTTCTTTGGAAACTTGATCTAAATAATTGTGTAGTCCACTTCTTAGGAACTCAGATTCCTTTAATTTTTCTCTCTTTTTTTTTATTTCCTTCAACTTCCACTTCCTGGTACATTTTCTTTTTTGCATTTGCTTTCCTTTTTTGTTGCAGTATGGTAACACACCTATCAAGAGAAGTCACATTCATTTCTGGCTGAAATTAGAGGAGAGGGTCTGTCACTCAGATAAATCATCTGTCAAAACATATTTCTCAAATGGTGAAGAACAAAATGTGTTTAGACTTGCATGTTGGTTTTAAGAGTGGCTAAACACCACTGATAAATTGTAAAAAGGAAATTATTTTCTCACATCATTATAGCGGGTATTAACAGTGGTGTCATTGTCTTTTAGTGATTAAACAACATTCTTAATGTGTCGTGTATTACTTGAGAAGATCCCATAAAATACCAAGCTCCACAGACAGAGCCTCAGTTTAGCTCCTCTGAAGTTTCACTATATTCTGTATTAAAATTCCATAGATTCATTTTATTATTGCCTATTTAAAATAGCTGCTAAGCAACTACTGGACACAAGTGTAACCTCGTTACTTTGCATGTAAGTCTCTTCAAGTGGGTGTTTAGGGTTAAAGGTCACAGTTTGCTTAAAATGTCAGTAAAGTGCAAGCCAGATGATAATACCTCACTGTGTTCTGATAAAAGTAGATCATTAGTGGGGTTTTCATGATGCCAAAATCTGTTTCCAAACAGATATGACTCTTTAAATCATTTATATTTCTTTGAGTACCCCTTTTTTGATGCCTCCATTTCACAGAGGAAACAGGCTGAATTCAGTGCACCAGGATGGACATTTTACATTTAGTCATTTGCAGATGCTTTAATCCAAAGTGACTCATAAAAAGAAGTACTACAACACAATTCAATTCAAGGGTATAGGTCCACGGTGAGTGTGATTTAACCAAGTACAACATGTTCCTGGATCAACATCCTTGTTGATCCTGGAACATCATTCCAATCAACCAATCAGAATTGAGAGATAACTTTTCAGGAAATATCTGTTTTAGGCTTACAATCAGGATTAGGTGCTTCTACGCCCTTGTTAATCAGCTATCATTTCACACTGATTTTAGGAATAAATTATGGGTAGGTTTAGGGGTAGGGATTGGGTTAAGTCTGTATTTTTGGACAGTAATGTTGATCCAGGAACATGTCACCCGTATAGGGCAAATAGCAACTGAAAGCAATTGGGGTTGATGACCCGGGCCATCGCCCCCTGGTGGCTACTAGCTGTAGGCAACATAAAAAGACAGATTACATTGTTTGCCATGTTAAACTCTAGTGAATCATGAAAATGGCTTTCCTGGAAAATGAGTCCCACCTAAAAACAGTTATCTGAATTTGCATCTGAAGGAAGTACAACTCCTAGAATGTTAAAGGTGGATACTGTATGACATTTTTGCAGGAAGTATGTTTGTTACATGTCTAGCAAGTTTTTGTTACACAACTGGTGCCCCAGAGGTGCTTCTTCAGTATAGAAACTTACCTTCCATTTACACCTGAATCAGCAGACTGCTATCATTCAAAGGCTATCACGGAGAAAAAAAAGGAAAAATTAGGAGTCTGATATAGAGGAATTTAGTGTGAAAAGAAAGAGTATTTGGTCAGTCTGCGGACAACAAGAAAGCATTTCAGCTCAAGGGGATGGACTGAAGGAGCTTTTTACAACCAAATGTGCATAATCCCTCAGCATGCAATACATAATATAACCAACATACAATGTGTGCTCTGAAGACACAAAAGAATGATTTATGCTGGTCTATGAAGAAAGAGTTTCCAAAAGAGAGAGTCTAAAGAATCCTGGTCAGTGTGGCATAAGAAATGTGCATGTTTCATAAACACTCAACACATCAGCTAAACTCAAAGCTGTATTCAGTGCAGTGTTGCCATGCCCACTTATTATACAGTAAGTGACTCTGGCCTTGTTTTTTTTTTAAGTCATGAATTGTGGCTTTTTTTCTACTAATTTCCATTATACAGTCATGCATTCGGGCGTGCCAGTGCTTTAGCACAACAAAGTATAACCGGCTACTAGCAGCAGTTGTCACACATGCCCATCTGTTCAAGCGACTACATACAAAAATATCATTTTATTAAACTAAATGTATTTTTAATCCCAGTCTTATTTAGCAACCATGCTTATTTCAGTTATGAAAGGGAACGTTCTTGATGGTTTGCCTGTCAGGTACATAACATGAAATAACAAAATAGCAGACAGATTTGCCACCATTTGTTTTCTTTTGTTTCACACATTGTGTGGTGCTTGTGTCAAGGAATTACAACCATTAGAGGTACGCTTGTTTTCTTACCCAAATTTCTAGCTGCAGTGGCACACAGTCAGTCAGCTTGTGTATTCAGCAGCGCCAGTATGCAGCACTTACCTCTTGGCAGTGGGCCCTCAGGGACACATCTATAGGTTATATCTACTGTAGGCAGCATGTGCCGCCCTAGAATCTGCTACAGTCGTGATCTTCCCTTTTAGACTGTCCACTAATGACAGTGAAAAATGCAGCTGGTTTAGGCTCAACTCTAGGGATCAATTCCTGTCCATGTTCAGATGAAATAGGTAAAAAGTTGCTATATTAGCAGTTCTGTGGAGAAGGTGTATTGCTGCTCGGGGATAATGGCAGTACTCAAAGCAACGTTCAGATTATTTACAATAAACTGCTTATATGGTATGTTGGTTTTTGCACTGCAGTCTACCAGGTGGCACTGTGAGTGATTTGATCAATGGTAGTCAAAATGGGAAATGCCACTGGGAAGAGTATGTCAGTGACCTTACCTTATTTTCTGAGAATATTATCAAGATCATGATACATTTATTCAGCTCTTTGTCGTTTTAGCTTGATTGCACCTTTTCTTTTTATTCTGAAAATTTACATTTTTATGTTCTAGGTTGAAAAGAAACTGACGGCTTTAGAAAAACATTAAGGTGAGTATATAATGACAAAATTGTAATTTTGTGTGAACTATTCCTTTAACTAACCAAGCCAAGGTTGAATAGAAGTTTTTTTTATTTTTTTAATAGGCATATTTTAAGAATAATTCTAAACCTATATCAAAAAGCATGCTAAAAATAATCAATACTATAGGAATAGAAGAAGTGTCTGGGACAGTTTCATAATAAACCAACATAAGACATTCATTCAAATAAGCTTGACTATGTTAAGCAAGATTAACTAATGTACAAAAAAATGTCAAATGTCAAAATAAAATGTCATCCAACAATTTATTACTCAGATACATTATTTTGTTGACTTTTTAACTGTTATGTATAAAACCACTGTAATTATAGGTTATATTGCTTTTTGTTTATCACCCATAATTGAGTTTCAACTGATTTAGGTCAGAGTGACACATTCCATGGTGTGAGGAGCACATGTACAGGCAGAGAATCAGGAATGACTGATTTTTGACAGATTTTTGATGTTTTGATGTTATCTTCAAATTCAGAAATACTTCCTGTTAATGGCTTTAAACATTTTTCATGAAGTCAGGTGGGAATCTACCTGTGGATTAGCTGTTAGCATGTTACATCCTTGTAATAACAAGTTGTGAAAAGAAGCATTCTGTCTGTTGTCAGGTACATCATTCTGCCCCCTGGCTGTTACTGTGAACTGAGATATAGCATTGTAATGTTACAGTGAATTACAACACATCACAGAAGAGAGACATTGCAAACTGTGTAAAGCTAAATTGGGACTCTAGAGACCAACAAATAAAGAAGCAAATGTTATACAAAAAGTGAAGTTTTTGATTTGCAGATTCAAGTTGTAACTGGCTTGAGTTTAACTGATGAGATTTGAAGATTATGTAATCTGTCTCAGCCGGAGATAATATGAGCATTTAATTTCAGACAATATGAGAGAAAACCATGGATGATTAGTCATTTAGTTGTGAGGGAAGATTAACTAAAGTCTAAAAGCATCATTGGCCTGTTTAGCTCAATTTAAATTAAATTTACACCTTTTAAAGTGTTGTTATAATAAAGATGATTTACAGAAATAAAAAACTAACTATAATCCACAAAAAGACCTGGTCTAATGTAACAGAAATAAAAAACTATTTTAAGCAGGAAAAAGAGCAAACCACCTGCAGGCTGCCTGTGACAAACCTTGGAGATTGACATTACATTTTAAAGTTACTCATTTAGAGAAACATGAATAATTCAATATGCAAAAAATAAAAGAAAGAAAAATTCAACAAGGCACAGTTGGAGGTATGCTCTGAGGTTAAGAGGTATGGTTTCTTGCATAAAACTGGAATGGAGAACAGGAAAAGATGAAATATAAGCAGACACAGGCCTGGAATAGGGTGTAGCACATGATCACATGATCAGCTCGGATGTAATGATCAT